AGCAGTTATGTTGGTAATTCATAGTACATTAAAAATCTATTATTAACAAGTATTTCCAACATCCTGCACTGCCAGGAAATGAATTTCTCATATAGTCAAAACCATATCTTTGCCTGTATTTTCTACCAGGCTGGTAAAAATCAATATACATGTGAATTTGAATAGGTTAAAATTAGAAAGCTAAACAAAATATATGTAAAATGTGTTGTAGGTGAAACTAGATGTAGATAAAGTTGGTGTGGGGAGGCAACATAGCATCTTAGTAAAATGGCTGTAGGTGAACTATCATGGTACTTGCTTGAATTCTTAGAGTTACAACAGGATCAGGAATGGGATTATTAAATGATAATCAGCAGGCAGGTTTGACTTTTATGTACGTGACAGACTGGAGAGTAATTGGCTCACTGGACCTTAAATGATACCTACAACAGAATTTTTTCAAAGCAGGCCAAAAACACTCTACCTTGTTTCATTGCTACAAATGCACTCATAAAACAGAATTTAAATTTGAAAGGTTCCCACTCAAGCCTATTAAGATACAATTGAAATTTACAAACTTAGCATCAAGTTCTAGGGGTAATGCAACAGATGATCTCAGTGATAACACCTTACATTAGATCCAGATTCTTTATACATTCTTTAAACCATGAGAAGAAACAACAAAGATTCACTAAGAATGTTGAATTTGGATTTACCAAGTTTATCAGCCATTTTTTCTCCTAAAATCATTCTGCCCTTCTTTATTCTAAAGGTTTCTAATGTAAATATAGTGAATATATACTTCTGCAAACATGGTACATCTTATGTACCAGTAAATATGGTTAATTATTTGTGTTTCACAATATGCCTTCTTGTCACAGTTCATCATATAACTAAGTAGTAAAGAAACTGGGAAACTAAAAGAAAGATGGTGGAAAATGTAGCAGTGCACTCATTATAAATATGGTTATATTTTCATACATTTAACATTTAAAATATAACTTGAAGAAGATGGCTGTCTTCTGGGGTGTAGCACCATGTAGTCTGGTAGAAGTTCACCAACATTTCAGAGGTCGTTGCTACCTTCATTATCAAGTGATGAAAGATGAGTGATCATCACCCTGATAATCAAGGCAGCAAGGACCTCTGAAGCATTGGTAACCTTCTACCAGACTACAACCCATCAGACAACCATCTTCATACTCATCAATGTGAGAACCTCAAATCCTACAATTTGAATAGTTTGATATTTTTACAAAATAAATCAACAACACGACAAGTTTGTCATATACCACGACTTGTTCCATCTTACATTAACATCAATAACAAAGGACTATACTCTGTCCTTTTATTAACTTTCTTCGAGATCACTGGTTCAACCACAAGACTATTACTACAACTATTTACAAATAATATTTCTTGGAAATCTTCTATGATGTAAGTAACTCTTCAGCAACCACGCTTCAAATATATACATCTTATTCATAAACTATAATGTCATAAAATATTTTATTACAACAGTAATTAAGTTTCAAGGACACTTGTGAGGCATGTACAAAATGATCTGTGTTACTAACTTCAGTTCTTTCACATTTCAAACTTGTATCATTTGGATGTGCTGGATAGTTTTAAGGCTTCTTACAGGGCACAAAGAACCACAGAAATCTTGTGACCTTCCACTTCACAGATTCAGGTTTGTCATTCCCATATTACCATTCTCTCGTTCATTTGAGGAACCAGTACTATATTATTTGAATTCAGCATCCCAGAATAAGTCTTGATCATTTCCACACCCCTTACAATTCCAGACCTACAATCATCCTAACATTCAATACTATACAGCATAACCCAGGAATGAATCCTTTTACCTACTTCAATACCAACCAGTGCATACCAATGCAAGATGTCCCACATAACAATTGACTAAAGCCAGAACACAAATGGAAATGTTGAAAATGGGAGGCACAGCATTTGGATGGAAAAATCACGTGGCAACATAGTAGTAGTATGACTCCACTAAGCTTCAATAGATGTCATGCTACTGCCATCACACTTGCCTTCTTCGCCTGTTGGAATGTATATTTTATTACAAAAATGGTAGACAACATTTTTCCTTATTTATGATACTACTCTTAAACTTCTTTATGACTGTAGAAACTATGTGCAAACAGTAAATCTGACCAAGTAAGATTTTTCAAAGCTGACATTCCCTTCTGATTCCATATTTCCTGCTGTATTACAGATGTATATAACACATTTTCAGTATTGTGCTGTTTCTTTACATATGGCTAATGCCAGCTGAATGCACAGTGGATTTGTTTAAGTCCATCATATGGGTTAGTCAAGCTACAGTTCTTTGTTTTCACTTCACTTATCTATGTTTTCAAAGATAGTGATTATGTAGAAAAAGAAACAAAGATGAAAATTTATCAGCTTCTGTGTGACATCATCATGATTACTCATTTACAGGTTTTGAATTTCTGTTGTTTACAAATAAGTGATAATTTATCTTCTGTATGTAATGGGTAGATTTATTTGTAACTTATCATTACTTTAGGTGAACTCTTTGTTTGTATTGTATGAAATTTATATAATAGTATGAAATTTACTTTATAATATGTATTGTATTATTATTGTTATGACTTTTTCCAGATCCTATTGTCATCAGGACTGTCTGATGGATCCATAGAATGTAATAAAATATGTATGTATGTATTTGTACTAATTATTCTTTCTTTTTCCAGCATTAACATGTCAGTATTACAAAGACTTGTATTCCTTTATGACTAATAATCACAGGTCATGATGAACAATAAATCAGTTTTCCAACATATATTTTTCTAACTTGCTATTATCTGTATATGTACTGACTGCAGGTGTCATGCTCAGTACATCATAATTACCAATCTTGTTAATTAGTCATTCACATTTTGTTCTCAGTTTCTGTGTGATCTACAGCCTAGATCATGTACAATTGTTTTAAGAACAGTGGAAAGCCGATGGCCACTACCTTCAAAAGTTACAGTTCATGGTAAGGGCCAAGGCAGACCAGAAAAGTCCACTGGCCCACCAAGACCAGCATCTGCTTCCAAAAGACTCATAATCACAGCCATTGCAGCTTCATCATTGCCGTCACTGGAAACTCCAGGGTTTGGTGACTCTGGTAAAGTAGCACTTCCCATCATATCCATGATCTCATCATCTGCTTCAACACCTACAATTATTAGAGTCATTATAAACTGTGAACATTGGAATATTACCACAAGAATTATTAGAAAATAATATTACAATCCTAGGACAATAAATATATAACTGAAATTTGACATGTGGAGGCAGGGTCAGTAAATGTTACTGCAAGAGAACGTTCCTACCACAGGAACAGAATCAGTTGCATCATCATCATCAGTATATCATGCCTGGTAAGGAGAGAACTGCACAGGTATGAAAATGTAGGATATGGAACTTACAATTTCATATTATTTTAGTATAATATGAAAGATGCGCTGAAACAGCATTCCATTACATGTGACCATGAAAATAACTTTTGTCTAACAAAAGCTGCTGTGCATCACCTTCTACACTGACACACTTCTTAGAAGTACCTGATTTTCCATTGACAATGTGTATAGCCATATTCTATGTACAAACTGTAAGAAAGAAAATAGATGCAAACAAACTACTGTGCTCAACAGAACAAAGTTTGAGCAATGCAAGGAAAAGTGCAAAAAACTGTTTAGTTCAATAATTTTATTGTTTAAAAAAATTCTATATTAAATGTAAATAATGTATGTCGGAAATGTTCTAAACGTCTGCACTTTATATTGAAAATTTATGCAAATAATCCTAACTAGATATTATTGAGAAAATGTATGATGTTTCATTTGAGCTCCATGAAAAGTAGGGTTTATATTGGACCAATGCAAAGAAAACATAAAACGTTTTTAGTGACTGTTAATGCAGGTCCATAATATCAAAATTACATCATTGTCTACTGAATACTTTTAGAGATGAAATTTGCAGATAGTTTATCTGACAAATTTTACCTCACATATTGCATTTAAGCATCCTGTTATGAAATACTAGCTCCACTTTATATGCCAAATGTATGCACTCTATGCAAAGAATACACCAAACATTACTCCTACAACTGTGAACTTTATAAAGTGCAAATTTTAAGACTTTGAAGAGGAAGACTTCATCAGCAGTTTAGTAAGGATATTAAAATGTAGAGAATAAATTTTGGGAAAGTGTGTAATTTTCATACTGTGAATTGGAAAGAATATGAGGGAATGCTCATTCTTATTCTGAAATACTTTATGAAGACTTGAAAATTAAGTGCTCAAGAAACTATTTGGTCCTATGAAAGATGAAATGTGGACAATTTACAATATTACATAACAAGAAACTTTCTGAATTATACAAGTTGTCTGCTACTGTTACATTAGTGAAATCAAAGACTGCAAGATTACAATGGACTTGAAATGGTACAGGAAAGGAATATAAAATTTTGGTTGAACAATATATTGGAAAAAAGCCATTTGAAGACCAAGAATGGGGTGAGAGGATCTCTGTAAAGTATGCTGTGAGGAGAGGAAGTGGCTGGAATTCGTCAAGAATGTAAAATGGTGGGATTTCATATTATAAGTGTTGGCTTATACTATCAGAGAGTGAGTTATTTGTTTTCTTAGTTTATACAAAGACTTGCCTGAAGAACTTTGGAAACCTGAGTCAGAGAAGAGCTCTGCAAGCAACACCTCACCTGGCTCACTTGCAGCTGAGAGCTGAACATTGTTGCGGATTTGACTGAATGGCCCTGATGTGTTGTTATGGTTATTGTTATGATTCGTCTGCTCAAGCGCTGGAGTATTTCTTTGTTGTGACAGCTGTTCACTCGATTTGCTTATGGCTAAAGACTGGAACATATTTTAATACAATGGTTTTTAATAAGATAACAGGTTTATGTTACCTGCCTATGCATTTGATTTGTTGCTCTAATCCAGTACTACTTTTAGTGGTCAATACATAAGAAGTCAGAAGATGTAAACAATGTCATGAAATAATACATTTTAGACTATCTGAAACATAAATTCAAGAACTAAATCTCCATAGTGAGACCAAAGCAAGATTCTGCTGGATAAAGTTGGTATTAGCTGTTCAGCTACTTAACCACTAATTGTAAAAAAAGATATGAATAACTCTCATGCAACAAAGATTAAGTTTCTATAAAGTATCAAAAAACAGATGGGATAAAATTTGAAACAAGGAAATTATGTAAGATCTGAATATAAAAAACACCACATGAATCTTGGTGAAAGTAAGCATAAAGTGGTATGGACATGGATGACAATAGAGAGTCCTCTGAGAGCATAAAAAATGAAGGTGTAAAATATACAACCAATGGGGAAACCAAAGACTGGGCGAGGAGACAAAGTGGGGGAAGACAAACAAAAGAGAGTAAGTAGGAAGCAAGTGGGCAGAGATAAAAAGAAGTGCTTATGGGAGGACAGAGAACAGAGAAGGCTTTCTCATAGAATGACTCACCTTGGTGAAATGGGATATGAAAGTGTGTCATTAACATCACAGATGTTTCAACCAGTTTGTATCATCTTATGACAGCCTTCTCAATACATCTGTCCTCCTCTTGTATCTGTTTCCATACTTTTATCTCCACTTTGTTATATCTTCTCTTACTTGGCCTCTCCAATAGTAATTTATTTTTGACATCTTCATTTCTGATGCTCTTAAAGGAATATTACTGTTGTTCATATTTCTTGAACTGTTGCTACTTTTGAATCTGGTCTAATGTCTTGGCTTCAATTTTTTTGTTCCTTCTTGTTCTTTTCATAATACAGCTCATTTGCCTTTTGATAAAATGATGTGCAAGTACCTCTTCACTGGACTGTGTGACTTGTGGGGTCACAGCTTTTTCTGCATCAGGTGATGGACTGTTGTCAGATGATGAATCCCCTCCACGTCGTTGTGAGTCTAACACTTCCTCAGCTATTTGCCGCCCAATTTTACTTGCCTCTACATGCGTGCTGATGAGCCTCTGCATATCTCGTCCTCCAGCAGCTGAAGTACATTACAGTATTATAAGTAATATACCTGAATTCTGAATTGGCAATCAAATGCCACAAATGAGTGAATAGCAGTCCAGGTCATACATTCTACTGTGGTCCCTGAGGATCGCTATCCTGACAGGTTTTTGTTTCACGCATATGCTGTAAAAGTATCTTAAAACAAGATATGATTGCTTCCTTCCACATTATTGCAGCTCAAAAAGGATCACTGAATAAACTACAAAGTCTCAATAAGCAAGTTTCATTTGCTGTTCAAAGAAATCAACAAAACAGAAAATTAATTTTGTTGATTTGCACATGCAATCTCTCTCTTGGTCAACAGATTTAGCAACTGGACAGTATTCTAAAAAGATGATGATGGAAAATGACAGTCCAACTGAAGTAGTTAATAAATCCTTTCAAATTACTTTATGGTGACTTCTGGTCTTTTTCTCCAAAACTGTTTATTCTTTTACCTTTGTACTTATACCTTGATTCATGTCAGAAGCTCTGAAAATTGGACACACATATATAATGCACAAAGAAAGGGTTAGTTGAGTGGAAAATGAGCTTGAAATCCTGATCAGAGGAAACAAGTAAAGAAATTTTCTGTTGATTTTTCAATGGACATAATAATATTAGGATAAATATTTATCTATTATAGGTATGTGACACATTACGTGGTGTCTATGAAAATATCAGATATTGCATTTAGTGGTTAGCACTCCTCCTTATTCTGGGGTCCCAGATTTAATTACCATTACATAAAGTGGCTGTTCTGACTGAAGTTTGTGTGGTTTTACATGGTCTCCAAAAAACAAATGGTGTAATGGAACTTTATCTTCAAATACTATGACCGCTTCCTTCACAATTCATCATATTCAATTATCCTCTCATTTGATACCATATAACTTATGTAGAAGGTGAAACATTATTAAATAAATTAATAAATTTGCAACAATACAAATATGAATTTAACTAACAGTCCTACCATCTTCAAAATGAATAGGGAGAACTTTGGTATACATAAATTACTTACACTGAGAGAAAATATCAAAACTCTGTTGTGAGTGGCTTGGCACCTCTGACCTCACAACACTGCTCTCAACTACACGCATATCTGACCTGCAGGAAAACATCAGAGATGTATGAGTGATGAAAATTGTTTGGAATGATACTGAAAATAAACAGTAACAGACAGTCCAAAAAGTACTTCTGTACACATTTTCTGTATCACTCCAAGCAAACAGTTCAACGTGTCCCCATGCCTATGCACCAAGCCATGAAGATGCAAAGAAGGCATGAAGAAAGAACATCACACATTCTACACTAAAGAACTAGACAGGCTAGTGGTCAGTGTCACACTTTGGTCACTATAAGTCAGGGGAAATATCCCCTGCTACATATCAAACAGGAGACTAGGAAGTCCATAGAACCAGTCCTGTGGTGAATGTTCAACTTCATGCTCAAACTACTTTATCCCCAGAATTATGAACCCATACCTATTGAATAAAAGCCTATTTTTACATGTGGAACAGAAAGATAGAAATGAACTAAGAAAATAACAAGAAGTAGAGTTCAAGATTTCACAAAGTATTACAAAATTAACAGGCTGGAATAAAATATGAAAACAGGACATGAGGCAAGATCTGATAACAGAAAACTACAAATAAAGTTAAATTAAGAACACTCGGATACACCACGATTACTCTGACATCATTTAAATGAATGTCACATAAATGACAATTGGAGAGAACACTGACAAGTTGAAGGGATCAACAGATGGAAAGAGTAGACATATATATGAGGAATGTTTGAGTGAGGATAAAGAATATAGAAGGCCTTGTCATAAAGATAAACCAAAATGGTGAAAACATCAATGGATGCTGGTAATACAAGGCACCATAATTCTTTACTTACAGAACTACACTATTTTTGGCTACAAGGTATTCCACATCTTTTGTCCATGGATTTCTGAATGACTTCCATTCACTCTGCAAGCGCACAAAACAACCATCTTTGCTTCGGAACTGATAAACCTGCAAAAGTTATTAAATAAAATTATTACTATTGGTTAATTAAGTTTTAGGAAAAAGGAGGAGGGAGAATAAATGTAATAAGTAGTTTTAATTGAAAGTATTAATACAGTTCATACTAAACCCACAAATACCTAAATGTGATTGCTGCTAACGAACTGACCTGAGTTGTTACGCGATCTGATGCTTGGAGGGCTGCTTTGTGTGATTCAGCTAGATGAAGTATATCATCGTGATGGTAATACTCATACATGCTTGTACCCAGGAGTTCTTGTGGCAGGAAGCCCAGCACTAGTGTTGCCCTGCACAGAGAAACCTTACAGTTCTAGAATATATATTCCCCATTTAACAAGAAGCTCTAGAAAGAAATCATCTATATAGAGAATAATTATACAAGTCAATGAGCCATTGTCCATCATTTTTAGTATCGCTTCTCAGTGCCTGGAAAGAAACAAATATTAACAGAAAGTTTTATACTGTGTTGATGAATAACTAATCATTTGTGCAGCTCTTTCATATGCATATCTGAAATGTAGTCACTTGTAATAATGCTTGTATACAGAGTTTATTATTATATGCATTCTAATTTGTAACAGTTAAATAAGAAGATCTCATTTATATGTTTTATGACGCTTGATAAAAAGAATTCTTAGGGTCAATTAATTTTATTAATGTAATGTATTATTTAGTTTGTAGTTCTAATGACTCCAAAACATTCTTATATTTCTCTCTATCTTTGCTGTGTAGTATCATAAATTGTCTCTGAAAGAAATGAATTCACTGTCACCTTACAACACGTTAAAAATAATATTTGCAACTTCTTTTAAGATAATACTTTCATGGAATTTAGAACCACAACCTAATTGTAGTATGAACTGGTTTGAGAGCAACAGCTAATGAACAATAATAGCTACTATAACTTCAGGGATGAGCCACATCGAATATTGTAGTTTCTTCAATGTTTCAGCAAACACCGTAAGAGCCATCTTCAGGGTGAATTTATAGTGTGGGTATGAAGAGACCTGTCTAGTACTAACCTCTGGTCAACAAAAAGGAACTTCCCATCCATGGCATGACGTGATATGAATTGTATTGTGCGAACATTGGGCTGCCGACGATGTGGATTTGCTGTAAAATTTGAGGACAGGGGTGTTATCTGGGGCTGAACACGTCCTACTGCCACCAGACATGACAAGTTGCATGCTTCCCCATCTCCTTCCCCTTCTGACTCCTCCAATCCAATCTTGGCTGGTGCCCATGACTTGAGATATCCTGTGCACTGGATCACACAGTACTTCCTGTCTGCAGCAAATGGATTAAAGAAGAATAAAATGGTACAGCCACTTTGAGTTCAGTTTCCTAAAAATATAGGTAAACGTATAAATCATTAAGTTTCCTGCATGTAACAATCTGCCATGCTGATTTTATCCTTCTCAGATCCAAATAATTTTCCAGGGATTTTGTCTTCAGACACTTGCAATTTACCTGCTGCTTTCTATGGATTTTTTATATTTTGGAAAGAAGATGAGATAGAATCCCATTATTTAATACCATATTTATATGTTTACATGGTTTTTCAAACAATCAAAATCACCAGACAATGAAAAATATATGCTCAGAAATATTACTACAATTTTTAATAGTTTGTCTATGGAATAAAGTTTTTTATTTATGAGTTGTCATGCTACACAACACTTTCCAGAGGTGTAACTACTGTATGGAGTGAGATATTCCTCCGATTTGTATTTCTTTTGACAAAGAGTTAAATTACATTCTTCCCTGTTAAATAACATTTCTTTCTTCAAAGACAGTCTTGAGTTATGGTCAGCTCATAACACAAAGGTTAACACTGAACTGTAGTACCATACAAGTAACTGACACAGGAATAAATTGATTAGTGACAGAGCCTTGTGGCAATCATTGCAGTACAATCATACCAGAGGTGTGCTGCTTCTTGCGGCGGTTAAATCCAGTAGAGATGTTAGCATCTTCCTTCACTTGTGCTGGTAGTTTGCATTTCATGCGGCAGAAGAATGAACGGCGTGCACCTGGACAAAGCCTTGACACACCCTGTGGAACATCTGTCTTCACTGGTAACATTGCTGCAAAATAAAATTTATTAGATCTCAGAAAAAACAATAGTCAGACATAGCATAACAATGTAATCTGTTTCCATATGGAAGGAAAATGTTGTTTTAAGTGTGCAGGCCACATTCAAGTATCAATAAACAAGAAAATGTTTTAAAAAATGTAAGACATTACTAGTAACTGACTTACTTTTTGCATCAATAAGTCTCTCCCGTGGACTGAGGTCAGAAGAGGACAGCTGTTCTTTTACCTTGGCCACATCCTTTGGGTGCAAAATATCAAACCATGATTGACCCAGCAAGTCACCCTGTAATGCACATGACCCTTATTACCAATAGCTCTGTTAACACATATTAGTTGCTGAGTGGCTACAACATAACAGCTGGACATTAACTGTGTTTGAAGATATCTAAACGAACAAACCATACATGAAAAAACGTATTATGCATAATTTCTTTAAATACTATCTGGAGTAATGCTAGCACAAACTGTAAACTATTAATTATCCTACTGTATTTGGTGACTCATTTCTTATAATAATTTCTAGTATAAATTCTGATTGTATGAAATTTGTCAGATATAAACTCAAAATTTCCACAGTATGAGTGTAATTAGTAACAGGTAAAAACTATTTAATACAGTATTTGTAGGTTATGTTCACAATCTATCTTCAAACAAAATTTGACACAGCTACATCACTTACTTCATTAGTTAACACTGTCAAACTGAAATGTATGTTTAGATTTTATATAATTTCCATATTGTTCTACAGCAATGTATCTCAACAAAATTTGCAAATTTTTCGAAGAGACATATAAAACAATATTTCAGGACCAAAAATTAAGTACTGCTAGTCTCACCTGTTCCTGGTTATAAAGGATGACAGGTAATTAAAAGGAAAATATAGACCTGGGTAGTCCCTAGGGCCATGCAGTCCACAATAAATTTAATGAAAATTATTTACTGGTACAATACTTATTGGGTGAGGGGGAGGCCCACTGACACAATTATACTATAACCTATATTCCCTTATATAATAAACAAAAAATTAATAAATGATGTTCAGTCAGATGAACATGAACAAAATTACAGCATGAAAACTGATACATTTGTTACATTTCATCACAAATTCTCCACACCCTGAAACATTACACGAACTGAATAACCAGCTTTTCTGTTGCTTTTATGTAGAAACATCTAGTAATAGCTGCAGTTTAGGAAACTGAGTTTGAATAAATCATTTTAACCTGTGGAAGACAAGTATCAACAACATTATATTGTCACTCCCACCTTCATCTCAAGTTATGTACTAATACCTGGTTACTAACAAATCCTGTGCTATATTTACCAACAATTTTAGTCTAAGCAACCATTTAACCCCCAGAATATAAACAAGCATATACCAAAAAGTTTATACCTGTGAATAGTTGAGAATTTGTGACACTGATTCTGACACATAGAGAATACGTCCTCGATCACAGCCCACAACAAATAGGAATCCTTCGGCAGCCTGTAACCAAAAATACTTCACTGAGCTAAAAATTGGATGAGAATAACCACAGTACATCATATGAAGCAGATGCAAACTAAAATACTAATTGTTAAATTTTGATGCTATGTTTTTGACAATGAAGTATCTTGTGCTCCATCTGATTTTGATTACTCTTAATCTAGTGGAATGAAATACTCTGACAGAATGTCACTGATTACATCTTTTACATGCATTCATAAATTTTTGGGGGTCCTTAAGGCTTTCCTATTAATTATACAATCAGCTCGTGATTGTAGAATTCTCACAGGGTGCATGAAATGAGAATCATTATTGTCAGATTAAATATTCAGACTCCAACATTCATGACAGTGCTTGAGAATAAAGCACTGAAGAGAATTATTGGACCTAAAAGAGACTTAATATCATCATGAGGATGGAGAAAATTACACAATGAGGATGTTTATAATTTGTACTACTCATCTAATCATTAAGGAAAATAAAAAGTGTCAGTCATCTAGTATACACAAGAAATGTCAGAAATGAATACAAATGTTTTCTGTGATAAAACCTGAACTTGAGGAACTATTACCCTGTCCCATGGAGTTAGTTAAGATTAATATCTATGAAAAAAGTATGGATATGGCACCTGGTATTAATAAATGAAGAGTAATCATAATTAATTTATCTACAGAGACCTGGATGCCAACTCTTAGAGATACTAGGATTAGAAAGAACAGAACTGTGTTAAATTACAATAAATATATATGTATTTGAAGTGTATATTACATGACAGGAAAAGAGTACTGTGGTTACAACACAGGGTAATTTGATAGGTTGACTAAAGTGTTTCACAGTACATATAATTTCTATAGTAGAAAGCAAATGAATTTTATTGTTATATGGATATCAGGAGGAACCATGAACAAGAAAGTGAGCACTGTAGTGAAAATTAAGCATAATCTTAAAGCTGCAAGTCAGCTAAAATGTCTTCAATACATTTTCCTGCCCCACAGATGTACCTGAAGTATAAGAGTTTTCAGTTCTTGATCAGAGAGGAAAGCTGGCTTGTAGTGACCTTCTGTGTAAGAATGGATGGCACCGCGGATAGTCTTCAGATGCTGCACAGCCATCCGGAGAACTGTGAGCTTATCCAGTTTGCGTGACATGGCATGGCACATTGGCACCATGGCTGAGAGCTCAGTGATGTATGTGTTCATCTTGTCACGGCGACGCTTCTCTATTTCACTGTGGTTCTGCCTAGAATGACGACACAGATTTTTATGTGCAGAAAAACTGGAAACGTTTTGAGTTCTTCAGAGTTAATGTAATTAACAAAATGTATGAAATCTTACACAGGATATCAGACCAATCCATTACAGTAATCTTAATTCAAGAATGGGTATTAATTATCTTTCAAAGACCACTTGATAGTCTTGTACTACAAGCAAATAAAAAGGTATGGAAATCTATAAGAGCCATGAAAGCATTAAAACTAAATAACTAAACCACGTAGTTAATTCACTATCCTAAAAAGAGCTTTAAAAATTCGTAAAATATTTACATACCTGTATACAAATCTAATTACTATTTATAAATGTAAATTCATATAAAACAAATGTTGTATACTAGCATTATTACACCTGAAGGTGTTATGTTCATATGCTTAGACATAGATCAATATTGTATTAAATAAATAAACTACATGCATATTCTGGGCTGCTGGAAGTTTGATTAACTCAAGAATGAATCATGCATTAACTGTTTGTGACATACAGACCAGACTCTACGAAAATATGAAACTGATATTAAAAAGATAATCCACTGAGTAAGGAAATAATGATAAATACTTTTTATCACATTTCATTAAGTGCATAATGACAGACTGATTTCTTTTTCTACTTCATTAACAGAATAATTATCAATATTCACTTTTTATTAATCTGTTAAGTGCATAATGAAAGAAACTTTCTGTTTCTTACTGTTCTTGGTTAGGGGAACAATAACATACACTTACTTCTTATTGTCCTCAGTGGTACGCACAGACTTGGCATCATCTCCAGTGTCATCCTCCAGGTCACTGCCTTTGCTGCAAAAGCAGACTGAAT